TTATAATTTTTTTTTTAAAAAAATATAGCACACATCCACCATTTTCAGGCAAAACATCTCGGTCTTATGTTATATTTTTTTTTTTTTTTTTTTTTATTTTATTTGACAATAGGAAATACATCTGCATGATCGACTGATAGAAAAAAAATGTTCTTATTTTCTCAAAGATGAACTTTTTTTTGTATATGTGTATATTGCATTGCGACAAACATCATCGATGGATGTTTTTCTTTAATATAAAAGTATCCATTCCACACAGTAATAGTTTTCTTTTCTTGACTGTAGTTGAACGAATAATTCTTTCTTTTCTTTTCCTTTTCTTCGTTTAAAACTCCGAAATGACGATCGCACATATCTATCTCAACACCCAAACGATTTTCATTTTGTTCTTTTAAGATCTTCTAGTGAAATTGTATTAAAAACTATCGATAGAAGAAGATAAAAAAAATTGTTTTTTTTTTTTGTTTTGTTTTTGTTTTCTACTATTAGCAACACATTGGATTAAAAATCTCCTGTTCGAAAACAATGATCCATAAAATCAGACTATATTGCTAAAAAAAAAAAATTTTCTTATAGTTTCTTTTCGTTCTGACCATTAAATTATAAAGTCATAATTAAATTTTACATATAAGAGAATCGATATCATTTCGGTTCAGTATAGTATTCGAAGTTAAAAATATTCAAATTTTTTGTAAATCTTCATTATCTTCCGATGTATTCTTTCTTGTCTACCATATAAGAAAAACAATAAAAACTGGACATATTCAATACACATGTCGTTTTTCTGAATAGCGAACGAACGGACACTTCTATTTGAGATTTTCGCTATTCTCACATTATGATGTTCTTTCTCTTTTATTCTTTCAATAAATCGATCTATTTTCAATATATTATTTATGATGATAAAGTGTAGAAGTTTGAACTTTTTTTTCTCCATGTCACATAAAGATAAAAAAGGAAATCCCGATGTTGAGAGAGTATCTATGTGTCAAATTGAATTATATAAATCAAATCAACTATAAAGTCGATCATATTTTCTATCAAACTAGTTGATTTAAGACATATTTTTTTGTTCACATTGATCGTTTTCGACGCATTTTTTACAATAACGTAAATTTTATAAATAGAAAATTCTAAATTTGGGAGAAATAAAAATTGTGCATGTTCAATTATTAACAGAGAATATTAGAGTAATAAAAAATTGATTTATTATTCATGCACTTCTTAACTATATTGAATTCTAATCTCATAATAGATGTTTAATTACTCTTCCCAGTATAAGTGATCTATAAGAAAGGACACTTTCACATCACATAAAGAGCAAAGTTTTTTGGACAATCCAAAATCTCTTCTAGACTAAACGAAATGATAGTTTCATTTCCTCAAGAAATATGTAGTTGACACTGTTGATTCTATTCATTATTTATTTATACTCTTTCTACGTTAAACGGCATCTATATCTTTGCATAGACAAATATCAGACATAGCTCTATTTTGTAGTTTTACTTGACGATAAATAGAAATTAGTGTCATTACGTCATTATGACTGATACCAGTTTCTCCCTTTGAAGTTATCTTGGTCAGAAGTAAAAAAAAAGCTAGCGTTGAAATCGTTTGAGAATTATAGTTATTTGCTGAATCTGAGGGAAAAGGTTCGAATAGAATTAACGTTTTCCAGAATAGTACGACTGTTTACTTTCGAATCTGGTAACAGAGTGTCAGTTATCCGATCAACAAAATCACTATATTTGTGATCATTCAATCATTGATATATTTTTTTGATCGAGAACAAGCTATTGCTTGACTATTTATTAACACTAGAACGCCCGGAAATTTTCATGACCTAGAACACCCAAAGCGGTCATTTTGACCGTTACTGTTTTTTTTAAAAATTTTATACTTAAAAATGGTTCTGAATTGAAAAATGAATTAAAAATTCTGCAAAAAAATAATTTTTATGGGACAAATTAAAAGTTATGACATAATTTATTTTTAAATAAATTGTATACAGTTTGTTTTATTAAGGATAAAAATCACAAAACGGTCAAAATGACCGCTACGGGCGTTCTAGTGTTAAAGTGTAGTGTATGATAGCAAACGATATAAATTGATAAAATCCCTAGAGTTAGAATTATCTAAAATTTGTAACAAAGAACAAGAAAGAATATCCCGCCTTGCGACTATCATTAGTGATGTAGAGTATTGCCGAATGACAGTTTCAATAGTTCGATATCTGCTCTACAGTTGACAAGCTTCTGACATGGTCATTCATTTCGTTACTAGTTATCAACCACAATTCTGGACAGAAAGCTAGAATGTTATCAAGATTTTTTCAAGTCACTATCTAAACAGGTTTTATTTTGGTTACAATAATTGATCATATTAAAAGAGAGCATTGTGGGCGCATTTCTGTTTATGAGTAAACGTTTTTCTTTTTTTTACTCCTATTGTATTAAAATAAAGTTCAAGAAATCTTTTATGAACAATAGTTCTTTCAATATAAATCTGTTAGTTTAGTTGAGTCCATTTCTTTACATATTTTACTCACTCCATCAAAAATGTAAGATTAAAACAATTTTGAAATGATAAGAAATAATTTCTTAGGAAAAAAAAAGAGTGCATACGAACTGATGTCTACTGTGTCATTAATATTGATGTTGTAACTTTGAAGAGGACGAAAATTATTCTCCAAAAAAATTAGTATGTATTTTCGAAAGAATTATAAAAAAGTATACAGAATCAATTTAACTTTTTTCTGAAAAAAAATTGAAGATTCTATTTTTTGAAAGAATCACCTCATCGGACAGATCAGTTCTTTTCTTTCTTCTTCACTTCTTATATTTGTCTCTACGAATATAATTTCTTTTTCTAGTTTTATAACGAAAAAATAAAAAATAAAAATAAATTCATCGTATTTTTTTTTCTCGGGTTTTAAATCATGTCTGTCTGTATTCTAATTCTCTTAGGAAAAATGATTATGTCAATTATTATTATTACTATTATTATTATCTTTTCTTTTTTTTTTATTTCTTTTGTTTGTTTCATTTGTTCATATGTTCTCTAATCTAAAATAAATGTGACAACTGGAACCGCAATAACTCACTGAATGATTGTGCGAAGAATAAGAAGAAAAAGAAGAAAAAAAAATGTAGATTTTTTTCGAAAAGAATTATAATCTATAAAACAATAAAGTTTTACGGAAACAACTTGTTTTATAAATTTACGATAGTAGAAGATATATAATAGTTAAAGAAACAATTTATGAACGATAGTATAGGAAAGAAAAGAAAAAATATAGTAACGATAAATAGAAATAATAATAGTTAGCCAAATATAGTGCAGTCATCGTTTAACACTAATGTACACCGACTATTCTCCAGAGATGTTCGATAAAAACCATTATGACTTGATTTTAATATTTTGTAAATAAATTCTAATCAATGAAACTTTTCCACTACTCTGTTAAATAAAAACAAACAAAAACTCGTAAATGAGAGAGAATCCTGAAAAAAGTATCGAAAATAAACTCCTCTAGGATTCATAACCATTTGAATAATTTAGGATTGACGGAATTTAGGAAAACGTCGAAGAGTAAAACGCTGAAAAGCCAAACGTCGAAAGGAGAAGATTCGTTTCTGTTCCTTGAAAGAGATATTTTTTATTAAATCATATAGAGAAAGAGAGTAGAAGAGGAATGATAAGGCCAATAAATCGTGATCTAACTTTTCATTTATCCTGATCAACAACGATAATCCAGCCAGTAGCAATTTTTGCATTGATTTCTCTATTCAAAAATCATCCATTAAGTGTGTCAAATTATTGTTGAAAAGCTGCTGTATTTCTTTGATTGCTTTGGAGCTGATGCTCCTGCACCAAGTTGCATAGTGATGCATTAAGCGCCTGGATGAGGTGAGAGCTGGGTTGTGAATGATCCTGTTTTTCCTCTTTAATCCAAGACCGGTCCTCTTTCTCCTCTTTTTGAGCTAATTTTTCCCTTTTTCCTCTTTTTCTGGGTTTTTTTAGCAAATATACCAGAAATTCACGCTATATTTAGATCTGGAAGAAGTTTCAGATATATTTTTTATCAATGCCGTCATATGAAACAAAATTCAATCACTCGTGGTTACAGAAAACAGTAGATGAAGTACCTATGAGACGATGATTAAAGCGAGGTGCTAAGGAATCAACATTCGTATGTACATTGTGTAAAACGGGCGAATTAGATTGTGGGAACAAAGGATGGCAGTCGATAGTACAGCATATAAAGAAAGATAAACACCATGAAAAAATCCAGGAGTTGAAAGAAGATATCACATTCGTTAGCTATGCTATTTGAACAGTCAGATATGTGTCTTTGTTAAACTAATATAATAACTCTTTTTGCTGTGTTTTTCTTAGTTTTTTACTTGTGAAATACGGAAAAAAATACTTTAAGTAGGATGAAACCTTTTCTTCGAGAGTCTTAAGCCATTTTGACGTGCACATAACATTGTCAGCACCGTTTTTCGGCCAAAAAAATGGCTCTTCTTTCTGAGCCAACGCTTTTCTTAAAAAATTTTTAACGTTCCTCTTTTTTCTGAAAGGACCGCTAGGAAGCCAGGATGAGAGTGAGGTATTCATCGTTGCAGGTATACTGAATTTCATCATACTTTGCTTTCAATGAGTGACTATAATTGCGACGAGATTGGGGAAAGCGTACTAGTCCGACGAGAACTAATAGATAAAATACGTATATCTCTTTTCAGTGATTTTCAAGAAACAGAAACGAATCTTCTCCTTTTCGACGTTTTCCTTTCCATATTTTCCATCTTCCCATTATCCACTTTCGGCATTTGCCATTTCGGCATTTTACTCTTCAATATTTTCTCCTTTTTCTATCAACATTTTTCACTAAGATCAATAATTTAGCAAACTAAGTAATCGTTACTAATTTATCGTAGATATCGATTATCCATTAAACTTTTCTAAATATTTTTTCATTTAAATTTTAGTATAGTAATATGTCTAGATATCTGTGGATATTTTCAATTTATTTATTATTATCTAATGTATGGTCTCTAACGTCTGGTTTAAATAAAAAAATAATTTTAAATAAAAATTCTATAAATTCGAATCGAAAAGTATTTATAAATAAAAATGATATGGATTTAACTATTAGTCCGGCTAAAAATTATTTTCTCTATGCAAATGGTCTATGGTTAAATAAAACACAAATTCCACCATCTGAAACAAGTTGGGGTGAATTTACTATATTAGATAATAATATTAGAAAAAAATTAAAATTAATTATGGACGATTTAACATTACATAATAAAACTTATGTAAATGGTAGTCTTCAACAAAAAGTAGCTGATTTGTATATATCCGGTATACATATGGGAAAAATAAATAAATTAGGTTATACACCTATTAAATATATTTTGGATCAACTTAAAATAATAAAAAATTATACAGAATTAATTAATTTTCTTAGTGATATGTATAAAAATTATAATATGGGTTATTTATTTGATTTTTATGTTGGTGCTGATGATAAAAATTCTAGTGTTAATATGATTAATTTTCAACAGACAGGTATTGATTTACCTGAACGTGATTATTATTTTCGAAATGATCCAACATCTAAAATAATAAGAGAAAAATATCTTTTATATATTCAAAAAATTTTAAAATTAACTAATTCATCAAAAAATTTAACAGAACTTACACGAATGGCTGATGATATTTTATCATTAGAAACACAATTAGCAGCATCACATCGAACACCAAATGAATTAAGAGATCCAATTAAAAATTATAATTCTTTTCAAATAGATGATCTTCAAAAATTAATGCCAAATATAGATTGGCCAACTTTTTTAAAACATATAATGGTTAATATGACAACTATATTAATGGGACAACCAGATTATTATCAATTATTAGATCGTCTAATTACTACTCAACCATTGGATATATGGAAAAATAAAATAAAATTTTCAATTGTCAATAGTTTTGCATCTTATTTAAGTAAAGAATTTGCTGATGCAAAATTTGATTTTTATCAACGACTTATTAAAGGACAAAAACAACAACAAGAACGATGGAAAACGGTTATCACTACTATTGATAAAAGTAAATATTCAATTTTTTTTGTTTTTCTTTTGAATGATTAAAAGAGATGATTTTTTTTTTGTTTGTTTGTCACTTTAATTCTTGACAACAACAAAAAAGTTAATTTATTTTGTCTTTTATTTTATGTTAGGTATAGGTGATTTATTAGGTCAATTATTTGTACAAAAATATTTTCCATTATCTGCTAAACAACGAATGTTAGAAATGGTTAATAATTTACAACAAGTTTATCATAAACGTATTGAAAAACTTGATTGGATGTCCACAGAAACAAAAGAAAAAGCATTAGAAAAATTAACAGCTATTACAAAGAAGATTGGCTATCCTGAAAAATGGAAAACATATGATAGTGTAATAATTGATTCACAAAATTTTTTTTTAAATATTAAATCAGTATTAAAATATGCTTTTAATGAAATGATTGATAAAGTTGGTAAACCGGTTGATCGAACAGAATGGGATATGACAACGCCAACAGTAAATGCTTATTATAATCCGCTTAATAATGAAATTGTATTTCCAGCTGGTATTCTTCAATTTCCATTTTTTGATCTTAATGCTGATGATGCAATAAATTATGGTGGAATAGGAACAGTAATTGGACATGAAATGACGCATGGATTTGATGATAGTGGAAGACAGTATGATAAAGATGGAAATTTAAAACAATGGTGGACAAAAGAAGATGAAAACAAATTTAAGGAAAAATTAAAAGTTATTATTGATCAATATAATAAATTCAAAGTTTTAGATGATCAATATGTCAATGGTCAATTAACATTAGGTGAAAATATTGCTGATAATGGAGGTGTAGTCATTGCCTATAATGCATTTAAATTAACCAAACAAGGACAAGAAAACAATGTAACGATTGATAATTTCACACCTGATCAACGATTTTTTTTGTCTTATGCACAAATATGGAGAGGTAAAATGACAGATGCATTACTACTATCATTGCTAAAGAAAGATCCTCATGCACCAGCAAATTGCCGTGTGAATGGACCACTTTCAAATTTACCTGCCTTTTATCAAACATTCAATGTTACATCTCACGATGATATGTATAGACCATCAGAAATACGTGTAAATATTTGGTAATATATTTTGAAAAATGATTTTCTATTTTGCTCTTACAATCAGAATTAATTAACTCACGACGAGAATAAATATAGTCTCATCTTAACAATCCAATGTTCGCCGATCATATACGATCGGCACCGGTTTTTGATTTGGTTAATCCTATAACTTACTATAACAGCACAACTATTTACTATAACTGAAACTATGCAATATTGTAGAGCACAATTTCTGTATCCAATGTGATGACTTCAGACTGTGTACGGTCTTTCGTGTAAAAAATCCAGAGAATACTACTTTCCGAAGAAAATATATAAAGTTTGAAATTGATATTCTGTATTTTCTCTGTATTTTTGTACACGAAAGACCGCATACAGTCCAAAATTGAGAAGTCATCGGATTCAGAAAGTGTGCTCTACAATATTGCGCAGCTTCAGCCGGTCTGTGAGTCTAAAACTAATGGAAGAACAACATGTTAAAATTTCTTTTGTAAAATTTCACTCCGGTAGCAGAGTCGCGTAACTGCACTGACAGGAAAATAAGCCAGTATTTTGAAAATTTTGCACAATTCTTTTTACTAAAACAACTAATTTCAAAGTATATCTGCTGTTATTGCCTTGTATATCGGGTGGCCCAGCATAAATGGCCCTCATCGTATTTTGATTATAATTCCTTTTCTTTTCAATCCTTAGACTTAATTGTTTTTCCAAAAGATGCGCCGTCAAAGTCTTTACAGGACTTGGTCAAACTTGTTTCTATAAAATGTTAAGGAGAAAAATGAAACGAAGAATGCTCATATGATGAAAAGGACCAACTTTCTAAACTGAAAGAACATTTTGTTCCACCACTTTCATTGAGTTGGATAATAAAAAGAAGAGAATACGCTCATTTTATAGGCCTTGAAAAGCTCTATCAGTCAGTATTAGTTGCACAATGCAAAGTCAATCTTTAAGGCTTACATGGCCTTTCTCCTCGTTGTTATGCAGCATTTTCCAGAAGCTCCGAATCTGCACATTCAAATAGCTGGATTTTGCAAAGCATCAACGAGGAGAAAGTCGATGTAAGCCTTAAAGATTGACTTTGCATTGTACAACTGTGAAAAATCTAACATTCCAAAATTCACTTCAAAGTGACCAAAATCTGTTATTCTTCGGCAGGTGAATTTATGAAGAAAGCTTCAAGGTAACTTTCGCAGCTGAATCTGGTACAGGTGTCATTTCTCATCAAAATAAAAAAAGATCGAGGTAAAAGGATGTTATTTTGGCCTTGATGCTTTGCAAAATTCAGCTATTTGAATGTGCTGATTTGGAGCTGCTGGACAATGCTGCATAACAAGGCCAAAATAAACATCTTTTTAGCTCGGTCTTTTTTTATTTTGATGAAAAATGACACCTGTATCAGATTCAGCTGCGAAAGCTACCTTGAAGCTTTCCTCATAAATTCACCTGCAGAATAACAGATTTTGATAACTGAATAACAGATTTTGGTCACTTTGAGGTGAATTTTGGAATGTTAGATTTTTCACTGCTCACATAGATTTGAACGAATTGTGAACTGCATAAAGAGAAAGAGCGCACTTCAAAGCAGAGCCCTGCAGGTTACCAGCTTTTGGCAACCTATAACCTAACCTATACAAAATTTGGCAACCTAATCCTAATCTAACCTATGGATTCGATAACCTAATCCTAACCTACAGAAACGAACATAGTTGGCACAAAATATTGTCCAACCATTTTGCAGTCTATTGTCTTAAATAAGGCAATCAGACATAAAGAATAAGAACAAAAATGTCGTTAAAATCAGAAAAAGTTTCCATTTGAGCAAAAGTAGCAACTATTCGAAAAAGAAATAACAACCTACAACCGAACCTAACCTATAACTCTTGCAACCTAATCCTAACCTAACCTATAGGTTAGGTTAGATTAGGTTAGGATCAACCTGCAGGGCTCTGCTTCAAAGTACTCAAAAATATCTTCACTTTTGTTTCATTGTCTTTAGAGTTTCTTAAAATATTTCAAAATTTGTAAAATAAAATAGCTTAGAAAGTTGGTCCTTTTCATCATGTTCAGTATTCTTCGTGTCATTTTTCTCCTTAACATTTCATAGAAACAAGTGTGATTAAGTCTTGTAGAGAACTTGACGGCACATCTTTTGGAAAAATAATCAAGTCTAAGGATTGAAAAGAAAAGAAATTATAATCAAAATACGAGGAGGACCGTTTATTCAGGGCCACCTCGGCCTGTCCAGTTAACTCTACCTGCGTATATAATTCAATAACGTTTTTGGTGATTTTGTTTTATTTGCAGAAATTTTTCAAAAACTCAGAACTCAAAAGTGTCTGAGCTATTTTGTAGACAATTCAATTCTCTATCGACTTACCTGGTTTTGAAAAGTTTTAGCGAAAATCTCTTGGTTAGGAAATTCAAAACACTGAGAACTACTTTTTGCATATCTTTTTTATAAATTTAGTAAAGCGGCTCTCATTGTTGTGAATTTCCTAACCAGGAGATTTTCGCTAAAACTTTTCAAAACCAGGTCAGAATTGAATTGTCTACACAATGGCTCATTCACTTTTGAGTTCTGACTTTTGAAAAATTTCTGTAAATAAAACAAAATCACCAAAACGTCACGGAGTTACAGTTAGCTGGACAGGCCGACCTGATATTTTCGGATACTCTAGAAATAAAATGTCAAAGAGTACCTCTACTGACCACAAACATTTGAAGAAATATAATAAAGCTCTACAGATTTTTTGCTAATTCTTTCACGAATTCATGAGAATTCTATAATATTATTGCGCATTGACATTAAAAACAAACTAATACAAAACAAATGAAGCAAGAGAAAGATGGTATTTTGATTTATTTTCATTTTTGATTCCTAATTAATGATATTCCTTAGCTACAAATAAGAACGTGCAATAACTCAAAAATCTTCTTATTGAACCGACTACTAAACGCATAACACTAATTAGAAGATTTGATTATAAATTGTTAAAATGAGTGCAAATATTGGAAAAAAAATCTAATCGGGTAAAGCAGTAGGAAATAAATATGAATCAATGAAGTATAAAATTGCTCGAAAAATCATTATTTATTTAAACTTTAACAAAGTATAAAATAAGAATGAAAGTGTTCAACTTCTTACAGAAGTCATCATCGATAATTCTGACGATTATAAGCAATGTCTTTCCATTATTTGTTTTTTATAACCGATTTTTTTAATCTCTTTTCTTGGCTCTCATTGAAGACGCATTATGGATATTATATGTTACTTATAGAAGTGCTTCTAGAATAACACGCTTGTTAGAATCTGTTTCATTGTCGCGAAAGTCATGCACTAAATACATGGGATATTGATGAGTTCAAATTAATCGCATATTCTGATTGCATTTTTTTGTCTCGTTATATGATTTACCAAATGTCTCATGAGTAGTGGATAAACTTTCTTTTATCACTCTACGCCGCCAGTTGATTTCAAAGCAAAACTTTTCCACATTGTCGAGGTCCAATGTATGTGAGGTATTTTAACTAACATGTTGTGCGAATTTCGAATTTTTTTGTATTACTTTTTTTTCATCTTTTCCTAATGTTCCATCATTCGAATATTTTTCCCTATTTCTGTCGCACCCATATATAGAGTCAATCGCCCTAATTTGATCACGTCTTTGTTTCAATTTTAGTATTTTATTAACAATATCACGAATTAAATAAATATTAGAGCTGTTTAATACTTCATCTACTCGTAAACATTGGGAATTCTATAAAGATCTTCAAGGTTTTCTTTTTCTCTGAAAAAACTCAACAGGTTAAAAATACTCAGGTTAGTTAAGCAAATGGTGTTTGAAAGCTAATGAACAAGCTAAACTAACATATGTTCTTCTCGACTTTTCCTTGACGCTTATGACTAATGCTTAATGTGGATTGCAAACTTTGTACACAACACTGTTGCCAGAGTTTCTACGGTTCTAGGATCCATTTGGAGTGTATTCGGCAGGGTCGGACTTGTCCCGATTTGGTCTGCAGTGAAGTTCGCATGCTATTCGTTTTTCTTGCGAAAAATCGTGCTTTATACCATATTATCAGCGTTGTATGGTTATTGTTTTTGCAAAATTCCGACGGGAACCACATCATATCATCTAATATGAAAGAGGAGCGAAAAATGACATATCCGTCTAAAAAAAGATATTCTTCAGTTTCCAAAGAAAGAAAAAATCAGTTTTTCAAAAATTGAAGAACAGAATTGGAGTTCTCTATTTAGAACAAATGAAGAACAAAGTTTCCATTGATGTTTCAGTTCTTGGAAAAACTAAAGAGCACCTTTTTTTAGAGTGATATGTGAGTTTTTTAATCTCAATTCTCCCCTCTCACTTAAAGAGGATATTGCAGAGCCCTTCTACAAATACGCAGACTAAAGAGCATGCATGGTTTTCTAACATATTGTAAAAAACAGTAGAGCGTGAGTTATAATTTAACTCTTTTGACTGAATCTGGTCATCAGTTCTTTTCAGAAAGAGGTGGAACTGATACTATTGTTCGGTTGTTGAAGAGCTATAGTGATCAGTTTTTTTACCAGTTCTTAAAATTCCAAGGATTGTTGTTAATGCAGCTAGCACTGACATGAAAACCTCGTAAGAGCAGTGAAAAATAAATATGGTTGTATGGCCTACTCATGGAGAAATTTTAATGTATAAAACGGTGTGTACACCCGTCAATATCATGAAATGAACTGTGGTCTCACCTGAACATCATAAAATGGGATCGTGCAGTTGCAACAAAATTTTGCCATGAGTAAGATAAAAAAATAGCTTCGTACAGTTCAGCTTTGGCAAGTGTGATGAAGTGACACTTTTTCCACACACTTTGACTATAACTTTTCTCTGAAAATAAAATAGATAATGACTTGGTTCTTGCGTCATTTTGAGTGTTTCTGCCCTTGGTATCTACCATACAATAAAAAGTCAACTCATGACTGCTTCGCGTTCAGTTTTTACAGAGAAAATAGCGGGCGTTATGCAGTAACATTTTTTGATCCCTAAAATTCGGGGCTGTTTCTTTCTCTACTTTTCTCTGCAAATGGTCTACCTTTTTCAAAAAACGAAGAAAAGTAGTTTGTAGAAGACACTTTGAACTATCTGCTGCTAAAAAGAAAAGTATGAAAAGATTATGTTTTCATAGAAAAAAAGTCATTTTTCTTCGTAACGGAGTGACAATTTTCGTTACCGAGTAACGCAGCCTTTTTCGAGAGTTTTTTCAATTACGAAAGTGATGGAACTTTTCTAATTTGAGCAGTTCTCTATAACATCACACAGCATCATTCCACTATTGGGGAAAAAAACTGAAAGAATTTCTGTAAGTCCTCTTAAAAAAATTCGTAAAAATTTGTTTTGTCTGTAAGCCAGTGTTTCGGAAGTTAAACATTCAAAAAAGTAATGCAGTTTGTAGAGAATTCAATTCTCTATCCGACAGACTTGTTTAATATCAATAATATCTGGCAATAACCATATCTCATCTTCTATCGTTTTGATCAAATGCTTCTCGTTCTTTGGCATTTTAAATAAATCTCTCTATATTAGGCATCTTGCTACAATAACATTTATAGCGTATAGATGAGAAAATGTGTTCACCTTTCCAAAAAAAATTAAAGCACTGATACACATCCATGTCTACTACAAGAACGAAGATAATTATGATACAGTGAAGGCTATAGGATATTTTTCATGTTTTAATCAAGTTGGGTATAGTATGCGAAAATTTTGCTTGTGTAATTAAAATCAGTTTTAAGATCTATAGGTGTACCTTCTGTTTTTCATACTTCTGAACCAATTTATGGATTATAAAAATAATAATTCTTGTCAACAACATGAAGAAAGCAGTTTTCGATCTTGCAAAATGTTGAAAGCTATAATTTTTCTATTAAACAAGTTCTAAAATTACCAGTTTTGAGATATTTGACTGTTATATAACAAATTTCGAAAAGGTTTATCTGTGAAGATCCGAAAAGATTGAATTATATTTTGGTATTGTTGATAATTGTATGGTGAGTGTTTTTAGAGTGCACGACATTTTCTCAATTCAGTGTTGAAATTATACAGCTTCAAAGAGGTATAATACTATAATCGTAAATTAAAATCAATATATCCAAAGTGACTTTTTAATACAATGAATCAACAGTAAACTTTATTTTGCAATAATAGACAATATGTCGTCGTTATCAATGATTTTACAAGCTTCGATTGATAATTTATACATTCAACGCCACTTTCGTTCTCCGTTGTCTGATAATTGAAAAAGTGTTGGAAATTTTATACTCGAACGATTAACATTAATAAAACAGTTTTTACTTATTTTTTCCTTGTATTCAATAGCACAATATGTACGATTTTTCTTCATTTACCCTAGTGAATGTACTTGCATATAAGTACTTTCTCAGATACCCTCGCAAGCTTTGTCTAACGTACTTGGCTTTTTTTTGCAAGTAAATGAAGTACTTCAGTTACTTGATCTGTTTATCAAGTACTCGTCAAGTGAAAACACTTGCCCTGTTCCGATAATGCATGCCGAGCACTCGCAAAAATTGGCAAGTAAGCAAGTACCCATCCGCAAGTACATTCACTAGGGTATCCTTAAACTGTAAAAATATCATATAAAGATAAATACTATTCGTCGTTTCTAAGCTATCCGAGATTTTGACCATTGTCACAGAGTCAATTTATGTTCAAGACTCTCTGAGCAACAATCAAAACATAGACGGCTAATGGAATCCATACTTGCTTACCTCAAATATTCGAATACGATTTTCACTAATAAAAATGAACTAACTGTTTTAAGTAGATGATAGTTCATTCTTGAATAAATGAAGTTCACTTTATGGCTTGCTTCGAACAATATATAGTGAAGGGGCTGAGTGTAAGGCACCTGACGCATCTCGATACACATATACATACAGACAAAGAAATGAAAAATGATTTGAAGAAAGATACAATATGTTAGCGATATTAAAGAAAAACGAAAAAAAAAAATTGTCACATTTAGATTTTCGTGTAAATAGAAAAGCAGAGAACATAGTTATAGGTTTTTTCAGAAAAGTATTGTATTCTGTTGGTCACAGATGCGGGATCTATTCAATTCAAAAAGAAAAAAAAAAGAGAATAGATAGATCATCTGATGCGCATATTGATTATTAAAGAAGAAAAAAAATGAGAATATTCCAATGAGCAAAAAGAAACATTTGATTTGAATAGTCTTTATTAGTTTTTCGATACTACCCTATAAATGAATGAAATGTCCATAATCATTTTTCTTAAACAAAAAAGGAAACAACACATACACCAAATGGTTTTTTTCCATTGTTTTTTCTTTTTTTTAAATAGCATTAGGTGTTCTTGCAAGAGAAAGTAAAGCAAATATATTTGATTCTTTAATTGTTGTAGAAAGATATACTTAAATCGTCATTTAGCAAGACTGACTGCAACACGATCATAGATCCATTGTTCCCTTAAAAAAAAAACACATTTTGAATTCATCTACAAATCGTTTATATTAAAATAAGCCATGAATAATATTCAAATACATATATTTACACTGACGAGGGATCTTCTGGAGGTTATAAATCGCTTTTGAACTCAGACTACTTTTATCTTGTAGATCTCAATGAGTAGTGAAATACCCTAAGCTGGTTTGCGCCCATGGTACTTTATTGCTAAGATACTGGATTTTTAGTCAGTTTTTGCCTATAGATTTTGGATTTCGAGCAAAATTCGACTTCCGAATTTTGATTTCAAACTTGCCACACTTGTAGTCCATGGTCATAGTAGTATGACGGAAAAATATTCAATGCTGATGAATTTTCCTGCCTTGAGATATTGAGACCCGAGTATTTCACCAGAAGGTAAGGGTCAGATATTCGAGTCTCAATATCTCAAGGCAAGAAAATTTATCAGCATTGAATATTTTTTCGTCATACTACTATGACCATGGACTACAAGTGTGGCAAGTTTGAAATCAAAATTCGAAAGTCGAATTTTGCTCAAAATCCAAAATCTATAAGCAAAAACTGACTAAAAATCCAGCATCTGAGCAATAAAGCACCATGGGCACAAACCAGCTTAGGGTATTTCACTACTCATTGAGATCTACAAGATAAAAGTAGTCTGAGTTTAAAAGCGATTTATAACCTCAAGAGGTTTCCTCATGAGCGTTATACTAACTAATAAACAATTGAGAGATACATACAAACTAGAGTCTGAAACGAATCAGGAAATTCTGATTTGATTTGATTCGACTCGAGACAAGTGTTTTAAATCCTAAATTGGTTCGATACAAACGCATGTAAATTGACCAATAGTTAGACAACAGGATACTCATGACAAATTATTGTTGTATTTTTGAATTCTGAACGAACATCTCTCCATTTTTCTTGTGGTAAAGCACGTTCCGACAATATCAAAAATAATTATTTTGAATGTATACTTCGGGAGCTAATTATGTGTTCAGAAATATTCTATCGCTTTTAGTCTGCTGGCAGTGAGCGAATCTTTGTTATCACCAAAAATTTAGGCTGTAACGATAAAAATTTTGGATATTTTTTCATTATGACAATAATCACTTCAAATTGAAAGATTAAACTTTGGTTTACTTACTAGTTTATAAGGCAGAATTTTCTCTGCCAACTAGACGATCTTAGATTATTTTTGCATTGCAAAAGCTGGTCAAACTTTTAATTTTACCAAAAGTCTGCTTTGTGAAAAATTGTGTTTTTCCCGAAATGCTTTTTAGGTAAAAAAAGGATGTTAAAAAAAACGCGAATAATTTCCGACCGTTATGTCATGTATCCTATTTTAATACCTGTTTGTGTAGAGAACTGTCTGTTCTACAATACAGATTTTCTCTTTTTACAAACTTAGTTTTTAGGGCACAGCAAAGATTCGCTCATTCTGAGGAGACTAAAAGCGCTAGAAAATTTTTGAACACACAGTTCGAAAGCTCTTTAGACGTAGATTCTCAACAGATTTTTTTCGTTTTTTCAAAATGTATTTTATCACAAGAAAAATGGCGAGATATTTTGTCCAATTACTTTTGCATCGTAGGTTACGCAAAAAGAAGGATAATAATCTACACTCACGCATTCCAATTAAGATCCCTGTTTATATCATAGTAACAGGCGCAACAAAAGAACTAATATCAATGACGAAAGCGTCACCCACGATGATCTGGAATATTTGGACCGACGGCATTTTTTTCTCCCGTAAGAGTGTATTTTAGAGTTAATTGTCTCACACAGAAATTGAACTAAATTTTGTACAGGTTTTGAAATCTATCGCCATTCCATAGCCAAGCTTTTTAACAACTATTTTGTTAAAACTAATAATAGCATTTTAACGCCATTAAATATAACTCTATGGTGGTTATGTGAGCACAATACCATTTATCTTGAATATAGACTTGTCAGCTTTTTATTCGAGTACAAAATATCATTTTGATTCAAGTTAATAGAAAAAACAAAACAAAACAAAAATAACAATAAGATCAACTAATTTAACCTCAATCACTATCTTCTCCACTGTCGTTAAAAACAATTTTTTTTGCTTGTGATTTTTGTATTCGACATTGATCGAGCTTCGAACGACTTGCTTCCCATGATGGATGTATTGTAGTAGACGGTACTCGTTTAACTTTTTCTAAACACACACACACATATGGTTAAAACTAAAAATTTGTTAATCAAATAAGAGCCCTTACCATTACTATAACCATTATTATTTTGGATAGATGGTTTATTTAAACTTTGCTGTCTTCTATTATTTTGGATAGATGGTATATTTAAACTTTGCTGTCTTCTATTATTTTTCATACTATTGTTTTGTTTTGCTAATGTATCAACAAAATAGGATTGTTCAATTGAATTCTTATCACCAACAGAGGGATAGGAACTAGTTGTTTTTATTGTCTGATACGTTATTTTATGTGTTCCATTTAAAAAAAATGGATCAACTAAAGGAGTTTTATCTGTCGCTATTTCATTTAAATTTTCGACAAGTGATTTATTCATACTCTCTTCTACATCATCAGAGGAAATTTCATCGTCCATAGTGGCTTCAGCCAATGGTTCCATTGTATTATTTTCCAAATCGATTATACAAACAACAGATTGTTTACTTATTGGTTTTGAACGAAAAAATGGTTCAGTCTTTTTCTTCGGTTTTTCTTCCTCTAAATCACTCTCAATTTTCTTTTCTTCTTCACTGTTCACTTCTTCCTCTTCTTCTTCTTCATTGTTCACTTCTTCTACTTCTTCTTCATTGTTCACTTCTTCTTCTTCTTCTTTAGCTATTTTTGTTTTGATTATCTTCTTTTTCGATTTTAGTGGTAGTGATCGTGATTCTAATAGTTCACTCTCATTTTCTAATTCATCTTGTTGACGTTTTAATTCAGATTCAATTTGTTTAAAATCATTTGCTTTCTCTTTCCATGCACGACGTTTAGCACGACGTGATTTATATTGAATTAATAGACGTTGCCAAGATTCTTTGAAATCATCACTCGTTTTCAATTTCATAATGTCTGTTTGCAATGATGATTCAGTTGATAAACGAATAAGTGAATGTTGTTTAATATCATTTACACTTTCCTAAGAAAAAGATAAAATTAATTAATTTCATTTATCAATTAATCAACAATACTATCTAAAATCTTTTTCTGATTCAAAAAGCATAAATGATATTTGTTATTGCTGTACCTTATGTTGTTTTAGAATACTTTGAAATGTTCCTTCATTTTCCATTGCAAATAAAACAACATCTTTAAGTTTTAATTTCTAAAATGATAAACAAATTGTTTTATATTCAATTTAAAATAAACACACTCTTACTTTGATGTTTCGAATCTCTTCAATGAAACGATTAATTTTCTTTTCATTTCGTTCATGATTAGCATTTTCATTATTAACACTTTAAAAAAAAATGATACCAAAAATGTCTATAGATCGATTTTCTTTCTCTATACATAGGAAAAATACAATAAAATAAATTCCTACCTACATCGTCGTCTTTTTTCGCAATTGTTCAATTTGTCGTGTTAACTTTCGAATTATTCGTACACGACTACGTTTAACAGCTTTTTGTAACGCAATAACCTTCAAACAAACCCCAAAACTGTCACATGATACTGTTTAAAAGACACAAATACACATACTTTATTGTTGAATGCAATAAGTTCCATTATGTTTAATCCAATTTCTTTATCTAGAAAGTATATTAAAAGAAAACACATGATTATTGTACTTCTCCCCAAAATCTATTTGACTTTAGGTTAGAAAATGTGTAGAAAATTGAGCTTGTTAACATCGTACACAAAATCAACTTTATTCAAAGCAGAACATTTTTTAACACAAAAACAAGAATAGATAAAATGAGTGTTAAGTTCAATACTTGGTAGTATAAATGAATTAATTCACTGTATTCATATATAATTCACATATAAAAATCCGTAAATATAAAAATGGCTAGATAAAACGTATTTATAAATATAGATAGAAAAATATTCTCTCATTTAAAAAATACACAAAGATGATATTGTAAAATATGGAAAGTTCACAGATAAATATTATAAATAGAAGATTGTACTATACCATTTCAGGTTATTAGGACAAAATGCATTTTTCTATATGCATGATGCATGATCAAGCAAATCCTATATTTTATCTTTCGAACAATTAATTGATTTTTGAACTTCAGGAAAATAAAAAGGTATAGACGTAACAACTGCTTGATAAACCGTATTGTTCAGGTTAGATAATCAAGATTCAATGCTTTATTTCAAGTCATATTTGTTTCAAATAGTTATACTTTTAGCGAAAATGCAATAAAAAATATAGCCAGTGTCGGTTACAATGATGAAAAACATTATTGTTAAATGGAAAAACTATCCATCAATATCCATTCTACGAAAAAGGCGTTGTCCTGCTTAAAAAAATCTAAAATCGTTTGGAATATCCAAACACGAACAGAAAATGAGCTATTCTGTTAATTCTATGATTGATTTCCGCTTGACATCGAATAATATCGAATGAGTAAAATGTTCTTTTCAACATCATGGGAAAATTTACATAAGAATTTAAATTCACCATAAAAAGTAACGTTCTTTCGTTCATGAAAAATTCCGAGTGCGGAAAGCACTTTAGAAAACTAAATTGAAAAAGTATTTCACAGTATTTTTTATCTTTCTACAAATATAAAGAAAGTGGAGAATACGAGAACGTTTCAACATGATCAATACATCTTATTATACAAATCAAGACGTTGGATAACTTTGAGAGTATCTTCCTCCATTGAAAGGTACACAAAGTAGAAAAAGATGTGTGACAGAATTACACTTAGATAGCAGAGTCATGTAGTTAGGTTGTACAACTTCCGAGCAGAAAAGAGAGAGCAAATACTGTTAGTTTAAACTGTTTTTATTTAGAATAAGAAACAACTAGTAATGATCACAAGCGAGTGGGGAAGCACTCATGATAGTGACCATTATTTTGTATAAATGAAAAGCAGAATATAAGCAACAACAAAAGTGAAAAACTAAAAACGACGAGGGAAAACGAACGGAAATATAAGAAACATCAGTTTCGCATGAACCTTGTTTAGAAATCAGTATAAGCTGTAGTTGTATGAGGAGACAAAGCACATCAGAGGTGGGGAGAAACGATCAAAACTATTTTTTCTTTTAACTTTTGCTTAGGCAGGTAGAGTATCGTTTAAAATCGTCTTGTTTTATCAATAAAACAAACAACAGCATCATGAATTTCTTTCATTTCATTCAGACTTAAAGATTTTGCTAATAGAAAAAGATCTAATGTTACCGCACCTAAATGATTAATTGAATCAAATAGACCTTTCCTGTCTGTGTTGTACCGCGAACAATGAAAAAAGTAATGGATCAAACTTTCTCTTCTATCGCAGCCACACAAATCAGTATCATCGCTTTTTAAAATATTTTTCTCGTTTAAACATTGTTTTCAAGGAGGACGATGAACTCTGCATCTTGTGTAGGCTACCTCCAAACGACGGGGAACATTTATACGCAAACATTTTTTTATATCACTACTTCCATTTAAAACATGAAAATAATCATTTAATTTTTGCTTGAAAAGATGTATCTTAAAAACTGAGCTAATCGCAGTTGAAATAAGCGTTTTAATATAAGCCTACGATTTTTAGTAAACAGAATAGTTTTACTTTTTTTAACATTAAAAGAAAGTAGCCGGGTATCAGACCTATCAGATAAGCGCTTCAGATCTTTATTAAGAGAATCTGTCGCCGTCATAATGTCAGAACCTTTACTAAATAAACAAGTGTCATCAGCATACAACTTGCAAAGATTCGCCAAGTTATCAGAGATGTCATTGATAAATAACAAAAACAAGAGTGGCCCCAAGACTGAACCTTGAGGCACTCCAGCATTTACCACCTTCTCAAATGACACTGCTCCTGAAAGAACAGTAACAATATGCCTTCCAGAGAGATACGACTCGATCCAACACAACATGGGTTCCTTAATACCATACCCCTCCAGTTTATGTAGCAAACCACGGTGCCAAACTGAATCAAGCTTTGCTTATATCTAAGAAAACACCTTGAACGAAACCATTATTATCCACTCCTTTGTTTATATAGTGGATAATCTCATGCAGCTGATTGATTGTCCTATCCCGTTTCCTAAAACCTGACTGATGACAACTAAGCAAATCATTCTTTGTTAAATATTCATAGACTTGGTGATGTACTAGACGCTCGCAGACTTTCGAAAGCGCAGGCAATAGTGTTATAGGACGATAATTTGACATTAAGTGCACGTCCCCGCTCTTAAAAAGCGCATTAGCATATCCTGTTTTCCAACACGTTGGAAATATACCAGAAGAAAAAGATTCATTTAGCAAACTTGCTAAGGGAGAAGAAATAACAGAAGTAAGCTCACGAAAAACACGATTACTTAAGCCTGGAGCTCCAGCTTTACTTATATTCAAGCATGAAAGAATTTTAAAAGCATCGTGATCAGAGACATAACACTTATCAAAGGCTTTTTTAGTACGACTCGGAAAAACTGGAACCTTTCTTTCATACAATTTTTTTTCCATAGAACAGGTATTCGAAAAATATTAATTCAACATTTCAGCTTTTTCTTGAGCATTTTTTACTTGTTCACCATTCACATTTTTCAACGATGGAACAGACGAAGTTTTTTGTCTTCCTATGATGTGCTTCACCAAAGCCCACCACTTTTTGGAGGAAGAGGGACAAATACACTTATTACACCCCCCTCATATATCGACTATTTCAGTTTAAATAGCCTCTGCGGAGTTCACTGAGTGCATTCTTAACAGTCTCTGATC